GCAAACTCACCAAGAGATGATGCAAAGTTGCCAGATCCTGTTGTGGACACAGTGCCAGATGATGACGTCAAGATGCCAGATGATGACGTCAAGATGCCAGATGAAGGAGGGAAAAAGCCAGTTGCTGATGGAGGTGCGTTGCCAAAAAGAAAGGAGCGAGCTTCTGATGCTGATGATGAGAGGTTGGCCAAACGAGGCAAATCGACTTTTGCCAGCAAGCCTCCGCCGAAGAATGAAAAGCTCTTGATGATCTGGGAGGCCATTGTTGAGGCGTATGATGATCTCATCAAGCCTTTTTTGGTGCACCCAGCCAAGTCAGAGCCGAGCTTCTACAAATTTTGCCGAGACAAATGGGAGGGTGTTGAGAACATGACGAAATCCGATTACTATGGCGAAGCCAGGTTCTTGAGTGGAAAATGGTTGGAGCAGAACAAGGATGCAGTGCCCATGAAGATGCCCTTCCGCAACAAGTGATGGACACATGCTGATCATTTGTAATGGTCAGATGTTTTTGGGGTTCAGCATCTGTAGATGCAGCGCATCATTTGCGGAGCAGGGAAGAAAAGGTTAGCCTTGCGTGCCCGTGTTTGTCACAGCTCCCATCCTTAGGAGAGTCGCTCTTTGTGAACTGGTTATGTTTGAATTGTAATTTAATGTTTGGCGCTTGAATTAGTTCCACACCATCGAAGTTTGTGGTGATGATGTGATGCCTTTCTTGCATTTCTTCCTTTATTGCAGCTGTGTTTCCACCTGCCCTGATCTACTGAGGGAAAATACAGTTGCAAACTCGGTGATGCTGATTAAACAAGGTGCACCTTGCAACCTTTTTTGATGGCTCAAGATGACCGAATCAGAAGGCAGCAGTGTGTCAACCTCTGAGCCAGAGGCAGCGCCATCCCGCGGTCGTGGTCGTCGCGGTCGTGGTCGTCGCGGCGGCGGTCGCAGTGGCGGTCGCGGTGGCGGTGGCAGCAGTAGCCGTGGCCATCATGGCGGCGGTGGGAGCCGCGGTTGTTCTGATGGGTTTGCTGTTGACAGGTCTGCCAGCGAAGCTACATCAGAGACAGAAGAAACAAAGAGAGTTCGACTACAAGAAGTGCAATGGAAATGCCGAAAAGGTGAAAAACGAGAACTAGATTCCTCTCACAGTGAAGGTGAAGCCAGTCCTGATGCGCCTTCGAATCTGATGAGGTATGTGACTTGGATTGTGGACAAGCTGGACTCGAAAGATGTTGATTGTTTGCGGGCACATCACAGTCAGCACACGTTGAACATTGGTGAGCTCTGCGCTGGGATGGCAACGGGTACCATAGCTTCAAAAACTTTGGAGTCCAAGATCACAGAGATACATGGTTTGACAGTTGCTTGCCAAACAGTGTTCTACAGTGAAATGGTGGCATGGAAGAGAGCTCTTTGCCAGGAAGTGCATAAGAGTTGTGGTGGAGAGCATGCCGCACCTGCACTGTTCAAATCAAGGACTGCAGAGCTGAATGGGTTGAAAGAACCAAAAGTAGACCTTTGGATCGGAGCCATCGAATGCGATGATGTCAGTCCCCTGACAACCACTCCTCGCTCCATTTTGGACAGAGAGGGTAGAAGCGGCTCCAGTTTCATGGAAATGCTAGACGTATTGTCTTCATGTGGCATGGATGCAAGACCCCGCTTCATTATGCTGGAGTGTGTGGCTGCGCTGGACAAGCTGCGCAAGGCTGTCAATGAAAAAGGAACGAAAGTTGCAACAGACAAACTGGCAGAGCTAGGATACGCTGGATCATGGAACCTGCTCAACACTCGTGACTTTGGGCTCCCCCAAAGCAGGTCAAGAACTTACGGTGTTTTTGTGATGCGAAGTGCAGGGTTCGGCATGCATGGCCAGGAGATTCACATGAAGCAGGTGCAAAGAGTTTGGGATTTTGTGGCCAGTTGCAAGATTGACAAGCCAGATGTTCTTGCCAAGTTTTTGTCAGATGCCAAATTTGCGATGCTTGCTGATGAGATGTCAGATGCCAAAAAAAAAGAATGACAAGAAAAAGGTGGAGAACAAAAACAAACCCAAGAAACCACCTGTATGGAAAAAACAGCATGCTGCTTTCAAAGAAAAATGGAAAATTGCGGACTCAGAGATGAAGACCAGAGTTCAGAAGGCATTGGTGCAGCAGAAAGACAAGTTGAACCTCACTGAGCGGGAGGTTGAATGTGCAATCCTGAAGTTGGCCCTGCACATGCGAAAGAACATCAAGAACCCTGTGGACCAGGATTGCCTGGTTGCAAACATTGGGGACTCCCTCAACTATGTTCGTTTCAACTCCACCTGCCACCCTTGCCTTCTGCCTACCAAGAAATATCTGTATATATTTCAAGGCCATTGCTTCACCAACTCCAATGTGACTGGCAACCTCTACTTGCGGTTGCAAGGACTTGGCCCAGAAGAAGTAGAGAAAGCAGGTCTTGGTGGACTTGACCAAAGGCAAAGTCAGGAATTGGCCGGCAACGCTTTTACTTCAAACATAGTTGCGGCCATTGTTCTGGCAATCTTGGTGAATTGGAAGTAGCACCAAATTCAGAGCAGTGTCCCGCAGCGCCAAAAAGGAGCTCAGCATTGGCAGAATAGGCTTTTATTGTCCTTAAGACTGCCTTTATAACAGAGTTCTTGTTCCAGGTTCCTGCTGTACTGTAAGGCCTCCATAGACTCGCAGATTGGCCCTGAAGCTTGGCCCTAAGCAACTGGCACTATGCATCTAAGCAACTGGCACATGCGTCTGATTTTTTTGCTTTGCTGTAGATCTGGCGTTTTGGTTTAATTATCTAGCAGCTTCACTTTCAAGCATTCTTTGGCAACTGGCTATGCATCTGGCAACTGGCCCATTGAGGCATTTGCATTTGAATCTGATAACTGTGCATCTTCAGATTCCACCCAGTTCTTCTGGCAACTGACCCTCAGGCATTTCGATTTGAATCTGGCATCTGGCAGCTTGGCCCTCAGGCACTCCACATTTGCATCTTACTTTGACTTTTCTGTAGATCAGGGACCGTGGATTACTGTTCAACAGCTTGATTTCAGGCCATTTAATCCAGGCAGCTGTGCACTTGGCAGCTGGACACTCAAGCCCATTTGAACCTATTTGATTTCTATTTTGACATAAACCTAGGATTTGGGGTTGCCGTAGACCTGGGGTTTCGGGTTGCCGTAGACCTGGGATTTGGGGTTGCCGTAGACCTGGGATTTGGGGTTGCCGTAGACCTGGGATTTGGGGTTGCCGTAGACCTGGGATTTAGGGTTGCCGTAGACCTGGGATTTGGGGTTGCCGTAGACCTGGGATTTGGGGTTGCCGTAGACCTGGGATTTGGCGTTGCCGTAGACCTGGGATTTGGGGTTGCCGTAGACCTGGGATTTGGGGTTGCCGTAGACTTGGGATTTGGGTTTGCTGCCAACTTCCGACAATCCTATGGCAACTGGGAGTTGCCATAGACCTGGGATTTGGGGTTGCCGTAGACTTGGGATTTGGGTTTGCTGCCAACTTCCGACAATCCTATGGCAACTGGGAGTTGCCATAGACCTGGGATTTGGGGTTGCCGTAGACCTGGGATTTGGGGTTGCCGTAGACCTGGGATTTGGGGTTGCCGTAGACCTTGGGATTTGGGTTTGCTGCCAACTTCCGACAATCCTATGGCAACTGGGAGTTGCCGTAGACCTGGGATTTGGGGTTGCCGTAGACCTGGGATTTGGGGTTGCCGTAGACTTGGGATTTGGGTTTGCTGCCAACTTCCGACAATCCTATGGCAACTGGGAGTTGCCATAGACCTGGGATTTGGGGTTGCCGTAGACCTGGGATTTGGGGTTGCCATAGATTTGGGACTTGGGTTTGCTGCCAACTTCCGACAATCCTATGGCAACTGGGAGTTGCCATAGACCTGGGATTTGAAATTCAAAAGGCACCTGGCTGCCAACCGTAGGATTCTGAGGTGTAGGCAGCATGTGCCCCAATCCTATGGCAACTGGGAGTTGCCATAGGATTTCCCAGGGTATATGATTTTCTGTATTTCAATATATTGGGATTCCCCTCACTGACTATCCCTGCCAAATCCTATGGCAACTGGGAGTTGCCATAGGATTCTGGGTAAGTAGCTTCAGAGTCCAGAATCCTATGGTCTGCAGCCCCTGATTCAATTTGTGAAAACACTGACCCAGAATGTTTTGGTTTGATTTTCTTTTCTTGGAATCTTGGAACACCCTGTGTTCTTTGACTTGTGGTGTCCCCTTGGGCCCGTGTGATGTGTTCATGACCAGTGGCTTTTGTGCTGAACCAGTCATATCATATCGTCTCTGAACATGGCAGCCGGCAGCAGCAGTGAGTTGCCGCCTTGGTGTGAGTATGTCAAAGATCAGATCTTGAAGTTGCATGAGGACAGATTTGGTTTTTGATGGGTGTTAGTTGGTGCTTTTTGGTCCGTGCTGCTACTTTGCATTCTGGATTTGTTGCCCCTTTACTTGGCAGGAAGCCAACAATGACCGTGAGTGCTTGACGCCCAAGATAGCAAGCCTGCCGTTGCCAACGGAGATGTCAGATGTTGTTGAAGAGATTGCCCAGATGTATGCTGTTTTGTCTGGGAAAGAGCCTAGCTGCATTTGGGCTTGAAGTTTTTACCCACTAACCCTTTGTGTTCAATCCTGTGACGGAGTCGTGTTACTGGAGACTTGCTAAGGATGAAGATGTAGCGCTGCAGTGGGCCAAGCTCAAGGTCAATGCTGGCCAGCAGATGGTAGAAGGGGCAGTGGGAGTCACTGTCATTCATCAATGGCGTTGGGACTCAGCTTCCCTCTGGTAGCTTGGACGCATTGATTGTTTGTCAGTTGTCAGTTGTTGCAGTGTCAGTTGTCCTTATTCTGTTTCAGGTCGGGGCACTCTGCCGAAGCTAGAAATCTGATTGGGATTGCGCACTCCATCCTGAGCACTGGATTTCGTGTGGAGGAATCTTTGATTTCCCGGGACACTTTGCCTGGAATGTGCCAGTTGAAGTTTGGGCAAGGTATGAAGCGTGGCCTCAGTGTCAAGCTTGTGCGCCTGGGCCGAATTCTTCTCAACGCGTGTCATTGCCAAGTACAGTGCTTTTTCATCAATTCCTGACAGTGTTTTTTTGTCAACTGGCTGAGGTGGTGTTTGATGCGCAAGGCTATCCGAGATGGGAAGCTTCAGGCAGATGTCCATGGCCTCTGCATTTTCCAGGGCCTTTGCGCTTTGCCTACCCTGTTTGTCGAACAGGATGATCTCATCAGCCAGGCATTTCGCCAAAATGTGAAATCTGCATATATCTCTCCAGTGAGCAGCCTTCAATGGACGCACATGGTGCTGGTGACGCACTTTGGAGTAGCTGCCACTTGGGCTGATGCTGAGGGTTTTCTCATGTTGTTTTGCCCCTTCAGCCGTTTGTAGCCCCATCATATCAAAATGTTCTTATTGAAAATGGTGGAATTTGATTAGACTGACAAATGTTGCTGTCCAGATATGTCCAGATGTTGTTTGCCACAATGTCTCAGCTTTCATCAGGACAAAGTTGGGACGGACTACTCGCAGATCTTCGCTTGGGATAACCCTCTGGAACGGAGGAGCAACGGCAAGTTGCTTTGCAATGTGCTGGACAGACTCTTGAAAGGCTACGAGACCAAGGTTGATGCAGAGGGGGTCGCAGTTGAACCGCCTTTGGCCAAAAAACGCAGGGGAAGACGCGCTCCATCCAAGAAGGATGACAGCCAGACTTCGCAACCTGCTCCAGATGGCAACCGTTCTGAGATCCGCATTGGCACAGTCAAGGTGACTGCCATCAAGAACCTGCTTATGTGGGTCACTCCGCAGGCTTACAAGATGATGATGCACCATTCCTCTGTTTGTGGAGGGGAGCGCCGTTCGGCCTTCACTGAAGCAGTGTTGGCGTGGCGTCATTTATGGCCAGGGAGCCCCCCAGCAGAGGGTATGATGCCGAATGAGGCTGAGGAATTTGCCAGGCGAGGTGCTGCAGCAATGCAAAAGAAGCTGTTGCCTGATCGGGTCACGTCGCTTGGCTTTGCGTTGGTGTTTAATTTTATGCAGTTTTTAGTTTTGGTTTTTGGTTTTGTGGGTCTTGTGCATTTTTTTTTATCCAGCAAAGCTTCGCTTGTTAGGTCAAGCCCTTGCAGTTCGGAATGGATTTGACACCAGAAGATCATGAAGCCTTGATCCTGAAAATTGTCAGCGTGTATGAAAGTGAGATGGAAACAAAAGGTGACTTGGCCAAGATCAACGTGGACCAGCTGTGGAGCTACCGCATGGTAGTGCAGGCATGGCGTCAAACAGTGATTCATTGTGCCAAAGCAGACCTTGATGAGCGAAGCTTCCAAGAGGTCCAGAGTGCCATTGAAACCGGCGACGCATTGGACCAGCAGCTCTGCCAATGCTTGAAAAGCTTTCCACTTGAATTTGGCCTCACAATGTTGCCAGATGTGAAGTGTTTGACAGATGCTGGTGAGATGCAAGATGCAGAAGTTGATGATGTCATTGAGAAAGCCGAGAAGGATGAGTGGCAACTTGGCTCAATGCTTACCCAACTGGCATCTTGTTTTTCTTGCTTTTGTTTCTGCATGTTGACATGACTGGTGATTTAGACTCAATACTGTCAATACTCACTTGGTGAATGTAACATGTTGAGCAGCCACTGACGCATGTCAGGATTTCCAAGTTGATCGCTGTGGAGGCGAAATTGAAGTTGGATTGGAAGCTGCTCAACTCAGTGTCAGATGGCTATGAGGTTCTTGGAGATTGCCTGGATTGGCTGTCGACCCAAAAGAAATTGAAAGTTGCACAGCACGCTCGGGACACAGTTGACAGGCACATGAAATTCTTCTGCCCCTTGTTGGCTGTGGAGAACAATGAGAGTTTGCCTGGGGACCTGGAGGGCTTGATGGCTTCCCTGCCGCCGCTGGCTGATCCTGATGGCAAGCGTCTCATGGTTTTCCATTTGGATTTCAACATCCCAAATGCTCCTTGACACAAATGAGTGAATATGTTTGCAAGGATCTTTTCATAAGAGGTCGCTGTCATTGAGCCGTGAATTCCCCAGGCCAGGAATGCTCTGAGTCTCAAAGGGCTTATCCCATCATTGGCCAATTGCTGCCGAACGCAGGGTGTCTTGGCAGTCACATTGTGCGCATTGTGAATGATCTGTGAATGACATTGAAAAGTTTATGATGGCATTTTTCCAGTCAGTCAATGCTTCTTCTTGTTGCAGGTGTGGGCACTACTGTGGTCTTGTGCATCTTTCCAAACCGCAGTCGAGAGGATAGTGAATGTGATCCCATGGAAGACGAGGTGGACATTGTCCGAAAGATGCGTGAGGCTGGATTCAAACGGCAAGTCCCTTTCTTCATGCCTTTGCGTGTGCCCATGGAGGAGTTTCTTGAAAGCAGTCATGTGTGTGTCACGTACTTACGGCAATTGTTGTGAACATTTTCAGTTGAAGTATTCATTCGTTTGTTTGCTAACCTTTTCAGTTGACAAGTGACTTGATCTGAGGACCACAAACCAGACGCAATGGGACTTTGGGATGCGGGGACGTCTCATGTTTTGGGGAGGCGACGACGCTGGGCCCAATGTTTTTGTGCAGTGCTCAGAGCTGGTGAGAACTGGAAAGTTGCCCGAGGGAGAGCTGTGTTCAGAGATGCTACCAATCACTTCGAGCGCAGCAGAAACGGAACGAGCAGATGGAATGCGTGTATGCGCTGCCACCCGGTCGGCCCAGAAAGGTGGAGAAGTCTGGAAGATCGTGTACCAGCAACTCATGATGACTAGCAAAGCAAATCCAGCTGCAGCCCCTCCACTGGTGAGACCAAAGGATGAGATCGTCATCCTGGACTTTCACGTCCACAATGCAGACCATGCATTGGGGTCTTGCTTGATGGCAGCAGAGGGAGGGCCTGTGCAGAGGCATGTGATGCTGAAGTTTCTGCGGGACAAAAAGAGCCTGAGTGCCTGTGAGTTCTCACAAAAACGAGTTGGCGCGCACCTGGGCACGAAATGGCTTAAGCACGAACTTAAGCTTTTCACAGAGACTGGAAAAAGTGTGGCTCCCATTGAAGCCGATATCACCATTCTCGATGACAATGACAAGGCCTACCTCCGCTCAGTGCCTGGAGCCATGGAAGCATACGAAGGAACGAGAACGTGGGAAGGCAAGCTCCGCGTGACTTGTCTCAATGGTGCCCAGGTTTCTTTGCAGCCAACATTGAAAGCAGAGTTCGCACATGCACTGCCGTCAGTGAAAGCGCAGTTTGATGCCATGGAGAAACTGCACAATGACAAGTATGGCTCCTTGTTGGTTGGGAAGCTCCAATCTGTGCGCGGTGATGCACGCGGAGGCACTCCCGCTGCAGACCCAAGGCCTTCGAATTTGACAAGTGGAAATGCACAAGAAGGCAGTGGCGAATCGAATCCAGGGCCCGTTTCTTTGACTGGTCCAGAGTCGGATGCACAGCTTCGCCAGCAGTACAAGATCACTGTCGACGTGAAGGCCTTTGATAATCGTGGTGTTGGATTTCTTGTTGCTGACAATGGCCATGCGTTTATCATTGTGAAGTCTGAAGACTTGATCTTGCGGAAGGGTACCAAAATCGCTGGTCTTGGGTCTGGACGGATGACCCAGGAAGCTGGTGATCATGCCTTGCAACTGGGATTTCCTGATGGTGACAGGACACTCACTGAGGCCTGGTGGGTGACCGTTTGGGGTGTGTGTTCATCTCACAGGCTGCTTGATGTCCCTTTGAGTCGCATCTCGCATCCACAATTTCAAGTGACATCTTCAACTGGCAAACTGTTTTGTAGTCTGACAAAACTGTCATCTCCGTTGTTTCCATTGGCATCTTCAATGTGCAGATTGTGCTGATAGTTTCCCACTCTCTTCTCACATGACCCATTCAACTAATGTCTCCACAGTTTCGAGTGACACCTTCAAGGTATAGGCTGTGCTGATATTTCCCCTTCTTGTAGGTTTCACATGACACGTTCAACTGACATCTCAACAGTTTCCATTGGCATCTTCAAGGTAGGTTGCGACACTAAATTCTTGAGGTTTCATGTGACACATTCAACTGACATCTCCACAGCTCTCATTGACATCTTCAACTGGCACCTTCCACCCTGCACCTTTCAAGCTTCGTTTGGTATTCAACTGACATTGTACAATTGATTCAATTGTACACTGGTATATTCAATTGACGCATAGCAGATTCAACTGATTTTTGGCCTTGCCAGGTGATCGTTGGGAATGCCGGTGCGGATGAAGCTGATCAAAAGGTGCAAAAGGGATCTTTCTACATTGTGGTCAAGGAGCTGATGAAGACTCACAACTTGGCAGACATCGCAGTGACAGGACACATGGTATCGGTTCGCCAGCCATCCTCAGGAAATGGCACCCATGGGTTCGACATCAAGGTTTCAACAGATGCTCAGCAAGGCAAGCCGTGGTTCTTCCTGCCCAAGGACAAGGAACCTACAAGCTACACCCCAGGCAATGCAGCCAGGAACTTGATCCTCATGAATGACAAGACCAGCTTGCACCCAGCATTCTCATGGATGTGGAGGTTTGGATTCGACAAGGTACATTCGAAACTCACGGCAAAGAAGGCGTTTTTGATTTGCAACCAAGATGTTAGCATGAAAGCCAACAAGCCAATCAAGTTGACCCGTGACAGCAGCTGAAAGATGGAAGTTGATTACGCTGCTAGATGCCAGATTGCACCTGATGTTGCCAGATGAATTTGAGTTTGAAGATGCCACCTGTGAATGGCAACGTTTGACGGACTGAGTGAGGTGGGCTCATTTTGTTCTGCTGCGCTTTCTGGAATTTTGGTCATTTTGATGGCGTGGAAAAAATTAGAAAAGTCTGTGGGCAATGCTGTTGTGGTTGATGTTTTGGCACTGTTTCGCGGTGATGTTTTTGCACTGTTTCACACTGATATTTTGGCACTGTTTCACACTGATGTCTTGTCAAGTGTCTATTGATGCAAACTGAGGCAACATTGGCACAGGCAGCATTGAAGCAGTGTTGGCAGGATATGATGTTCTAGCCTCAAAGAATGTCTTGAAATTTGAAAGTTTCTGCGTTGGGCTTCAAGTTGTGGCAGTGATGCTTCTCTTGCCACCTGAAAAGCCATGAGCTCCACAGATACAGAGCCAGACCCGTACTTCGTTGTGCCCGTACACCCGTTGCCATGTGGGTCTCGAAGAGGCAACAAAAGGAAGAGTAATCCACAGACCAAGGAAACCTCCCAGTCGTCTAAGACTGACTGGTTTGCCAAATGGGCATTGTTTTTGGAGAAATTCAACCGCAGCTTGGGTAGCTGCAAGACTGGTTGCGCATTCTGCCTGCACAATTGCTTTGGGCTTTTGCAGCCATTGTTAGACGAAGTCAAGAAATGGAGAGAGGAAATGTCACATGTAGTTTCTGAAGTTCAAGACCAAGAACTGCGCTGGATATTCAAACCTGATCCGGACTCAGCCACCATCACTCCGAGACAGGCGCTGGCAAGACCTTCCAGAGGTACAGGCGATGGTCAAGGTTCAACAACGTCAACCTCAGAAGTGGATGATGCTGGCCAATCCACAAGCACCTCCAATCCAGCTGATTCAGATTCAGACTCTGGTCATGAGGAAAAAGTAGCCAAGCAGACGTCCCGACACTACAGCGTCAGGCAAGGGTCAAAAAGACCATCTGTCAGAATTGGCCTATTTCTTCATGGGGCAGACAAAGGGATGCGCATTTGCCAGAAAGCGGCTGTGTGGGCTCTGGGCATTTCAAAAGCACGGCTCCACAGGGCAACACGTCAGCATTAATGCTTTGGTTAGTTTTTATGTGCCCGTTTATTTGTTTCAGTTGGTTTTTCAATCGTTCATTTTTCAATGCAAGTCTTGGCCTGGCATGACATGACCTCCCACACCAGGTTCAACATGGACTTCCAGATCGTCGCAAGAGAGCCTTCCGAGTACAGAATGCAGTTGCAAGGCCCCAGCTGGATCTCTGTCATCGGTTCTTGCAGCTGCGGTACCACAACGAGGGTGAGTGGTTGCCTGACAGATTTGATTTTGAAGGGCTGGGCCGCCCAACATTGGTTTTCGCTCCCAAACACAGGTCAGAGTCAGCTGATGGAAAATGTGATGTCAGATGTGAGTTGCCAGATTCAGATTCTGAAGATGAAGAGTGCCAGATGTCAAAGGATGATTGGAATGAGGCAGATTCAAGAAAGCTTGCAGCAATGGCTACAAAGGCCATCGTCACATCCAATCCCTTCCAGAACGCCATGAAAGGGCCGCAATTGGGTGATGCTCCGAGAAGATACCTAGGGGTTGTAAAACCTATTGTGCTGTATCAGATGTGCAGAGCCTGGTGTGAGCAAAACAATTACACAGAAAAACCATCTTGGACAACATTCTTGCGTGCACTTCGTGCTTCGAGGAAACACATTGCCTTCCGCAAAAGCACAGGGCAGCATGGAGTTTGCGATGAATGTATGTGGTACAAAAAACAGCTCCAGCGACACATGGGAGTAGCTGAGCGAAATTCCACAATGGAGGACTACGCAGGGCACCTATTGCGCAATTGGCGCGATAGACAACTTGACAGCAACTTCCACGCACAGGCCGGACAAACAAGGGCCGCGATGCTATCAGGGACAGATTTGAATTTGCTGCAGCACAGTGTGATGTTTGTGCGCAGTGATGGGCTTGATCAAGCCAAGCACAAAGTTCCTCGATGCCAAAACTTCACCAAGGCATTCTGTGACTTGATCAGGCCGGCCATGCATGTCCAGATGTGCTGGTGCCATTTCCATTCAGTGGAATTTGCAATAGCGGATCCCGACCTTCCCAAAGACTCATGTTCCCACCTTGAATGCCTCAGCCGGCTGCTCACTGGAATTTACGACAAGCACAAGGCACTGGCTCGGCATCTTTGCTTGGCTCTCGACAACACAAGCAGAGACAACAAAAATTCAGTTGTCTTGAGATTTTTCATCAAACTGAGGCTCCTCCAGGTTTTTGAATCAATCTACATCTGCTTCCCCATCAAGGGGCACACGCACACGTGTCTCGATGCCCTCGGGGGGCAAGCGGTGGTGAAAACCTCTGCAGAGGCTTTCAATACAGACAGAGAGCTGGTCAATTTGTATGAGAAGTTCCTCAATGGCTGTTCGTTTGAAAACGGAACCTTCAAGACAAGTTGTTGGAAGCATGACCAGTCAGCAGACTGGCGAAGTTGGGCTGAGGAAATTCCTTTGAAATTCTCATGTGTTACTGGCCCACTCGCCCCACATGGGTTCCGGATCGTTCAGCGACATCAAATGGAAGACATTGGGGACGCAGAGATCACTGCTTGGCCAGGGGCCCCACCTCCTCATCCAAATGACTTGGTCATGGGCGTGCACAAGTACATGTCAGATGCCCAACCGTATCAGGTTTGTTTGCTGGTGCCTGCAGCTGAAATTGATGATGTGAGAAGATCTTTATCGTTGCAGCCATCTGGCAACCAGTTGAGGAAGCACATGCCAGTGAAAGAGCGAGAGGATATTGTGAAGAAAGCAGAGCAATGCCATCTGAAAGGGGGCATACACAAAGATGCTTTGGATTTTTTGATTGGATGGGCCAAAGGAACAAAGCGCCGTGACCCAAGGTTGCAGCATTACAGTTTTTTGGACCATCGGTACAATTCCACGCCAGAAAATGCTGCGCCAAGACGATATCTGCAAGGCCAGCATCACAGGCTGAGACATATTGTCGTCCTGCAGCATGACTTGTCGCAATCCGTGCCTTGGCTTTTAAGCTTCAAAATGCTTTTCTTGGTTAAAAACTTGTTTCTTAAAAGGCACGTTTTTCAACCAAGATTTGCTGTGTTCAGATTTGGCTTGATGGTGTGTCTTGGTCTCCCAGGCTGAGCGTCCAAATGATGATGAGAACGATGACGATGTCCTTGAAATTCAGCCAGATGTTTGATGCCAGTTGGTATTCGATGCGAGTAGTAGATGTTTGATGTCAGCTGCCAGTTTGCTGTGTGGAAAACGGACGTCGCGCAACCTTCTAAGCAGTCAACTGCTTCGGATACCTTCTTTCTCATGTGTCTTTTGCATGTTGAACTCACTGTTTGCTGACTTTTCTTCAGGGTTTGTCTTCAGGATCAATGCATTGTTGGTTTCGACGGCTGATTTGCGCACTAAGCATGTCAACTGGCATCTTGAACAACTTGCAACTCAGGGCTTGAACAACTTGCATTCCGAACTGACAGTTTTTGCTGATATTTTCTTTGTCAAATGACATATCCACAAATCGAATATCTCGTTCGCATTCTCAACTGACAACAAGTGCAAACGTTTCCAGCTTTGTGTTGATTCAGGATGCTGGGTGGAATCTGCAGGCGGGCAGCTGTCAGATGGCACTGGTGCCAGTTGTTTGGTTGCTCTCTTTTCACATGTGGACTCTGTTTGGCCACATGCAGGCAGTGGTGATTCGGATGCCAATAATTTGGCTCAAGTTTCTTGCCCCTGAGCTGGTGTTTTTTGACGCTCAACTTTAAACATGGCTAAAGAATGGCAGGTCATGATGGTGACTTTCATTATGTCAAAAATGCTGAAGATGAACGATGTGCAGCGAGAGGACTTCTCAGAAGAGTTGGAGAATTTGAGAGAAGTGATTCGTTCTGTTTTGACTGTTTGTGGAGAACGCCTGGTATCTCTAAGTGACCTCTGGACCTTGCTCACAGCCTGCAGATGCCTCCAGGATCAGGTTAACCTGGCAAAAATCATACCATCTGAGGGCCAAATCAAAGTGGTCTTGGACGGAAATCCAAGTACTGGAGCTGCCCCAGCTGCTTCGCTTGGGACGTTTGATGAACTTCGT